TCTTTCTCCTCTCGCTGCCCTATGAAATTGCATAACCACGGACCCTCTGTCTGGAGAGTGCTCATTGGCCCTGTGATGATCACATGCACCCTCCCAAAAAAAAAAACTAAACTCTCTAGCAGTACACAACAAAGTGAGCATGTGCAGAGAGTCCCTGAGGCGTGTTCTATCAGGATATGAAATTGGGAACGTGGAAGAAGGGGAGGATCAGAGAAGACAGGATCAAACATCCTTCTTACACAATGCAGAGGATTAACCCTCTAAGTTCCACAGTGAGTGAGTATAACAAGCATGCTTTACTGAATATACAGACTGATTTTCCTGTTGTGGGTTTACTTCCACTTCTAGGCACTTGGCAATATACTGTTAAATAAATTGTATTAAATACTACACTATGGGAGTGTTCCTTTTCTCCTCTTTTGGGATCCTTTAAGTTGGCTGTGCGGTGCATACTTTGTCCATGAGGGGGATACCACCACTATTGCTGACAGTTGATGGTCCAGGATTAGAGCGCAAAGGCCCCAGTACTAATCTGTTTGGCGTTGAGCGACTTGAAAGTGTGTTGGCCCCTTGGGGTCACAACATGGAGGTGAGGGGGCAATTCAGCCGGTGATGGACTCCTTGTTATATTGATCACTTTCACTATCACCAATCAAGTTCACTTGGGAATATTTTATCACTGGACTTTATATGCATTTATGTGTGGTGGACAGTTACAATATATTTTCTTTTGATTTATTCACCGCCCATGGCAATACATATGCCATTCCATTACGTGGTTTTTTGTTGTTCATTTCTTTTGTTATATATTTTGTTTTCACCATTGATTGTGATACTGTCATTTCACATTCAATTCCTTGCTGTGATTCACTCCGCTTTTATACACATTTATTATTGTTACACTGTATTTGGTATTTTCACAAATTATTCTTGTTGGCCTCACATTTATAGTGCACTTATAGAGTTGAGGATTGTTTCTCTAGGTGGTGCACTTTATGATATCTACGTATTGTCGCGCCATTATTTATGCTGTGGTATATTTGTGCCTGTGTTCACTTTTTATTGATTTGTCTTCCACTTTGTATTTTTCAACCATTTTACATCACTTTTTGGGCTCTCCTGTCATTTGTTTAAATATCATTTTGATCTTTTTATCTCTTGATTTGTCTTTTTTAGTTTTTAGCACATATTTTTAGTCCATTATGTGCTTATAAGCGTCCATTTCACATCTGTTTTATGCACTAGTTGCATTATGTTGTTTATTTTTTTACATGCGTTATTTTTTTTGTGGTCACTCACCATTTGTAGTTTATTTCTATTCCCCTGTTTGTTAGCGCAGCACCATTCCCCCGTCCTTTACATTTTCCCTATTTAGTATATAGTTGGATATAGTTGGATGCCTGTTGCTTTCTTTGATTTTCTTATCAGTGTTTAGTGGTAGCGTGGGAGGTTTTTTCCTATTATTCATTCCACTTCTGATCGCCTAGGCAATCGGCAATTGCAGCAGAAGTGGGAGCGAGTACCTGTCAAATTTAGGTACCCCTTTCCCCCCACTCCCCAAAGATGCCAATCTTTAATGACGAAGCCTTTTGGGTGGAGCTCGGCTTTAAGGTAAATACATAATTTCGAAATCTTCCAATGGGGATACTTGTTCATGTGACAACTGTCATAGAGGGGATTTCCCCCTGAAAAGATATCCTCTCACTTCCTGCTAATGCTGAACTCCAGCCTTCTTTTCACTTTTGCACAGGTGTAGTCTCCTATCTTGGACTGAAAATGCTTACTCACTTCATAATGTGAGCTTCTCATAGTGTGTCTTAGAAGCTGCAAGTCAGATAGAGAATGCCCCAGTTCCTCATTGGAGAATGTACAGTATAGCATCATCCAGGCTTTCTTCACTAGTCTGCATGCCCCTGGCCTTCATTCATTAATTCCAGTTCTTCCAATTATGAAGGCTCAACATGACATGTGAGCATTGCCTAGGGTGGTCTGGATGCAAATTCAATCTGCCTAGGAGCACCCACTCCTCTAGACTATCACCCAGCCATCAAGGCATTTTGAGATTTGCATAACTTTTTCCAAGAGCCAGCCCACTGCTTGTATCATGGCCCGAGGGATCTTCAGTGGGGTACTAAGGCAAGGTGTTGTGATGTTTTTGAGAAACTATTTACAGCACCTTCCTGGCCCTTCCAGCAACCATCATCTTCCTGCATAGAGAAGCACAGATTACACTTCAGCTTTAAATATACAAGTGAACGGAAATCTCCCTAATAAATACAGGTAAAAAAAAAAGTGGTTTCAACCTTCCTCTACTATATACAAAATTACAAGAAAAAAGTTGGGGCTTTAGATATACTTTAAGAGAACTGTTCATTTTTTACATAAAATTTTGAGTCATAGTCTTTTGACTGAAATGCCATTTAACCACTTGCCTACAGGGCACTTATACCCCCTTCCTTACCAGGCCAATTTTCAGCTTTCAGCACTAACGCACTTTGAATAACAATTGCGTGGCCATGCAACATTGTACCCATATGAAATTTTTATCATTTTTTTCTCATAAATAGAGCTTTCTTTTGATGGTATTTAATCACTGCTGGGTGTTTTACTTTTTGTGCTATAAACAAAAAAAATGCAAAAAATTTGAAAAAAAAAGTTTGTTTCTATTATAAAATTTTGCAAACAGGTAATTTTTCTCCTTCACTGATGTGTGTTGATGAGGCAGCACTGGTAGGCACTGATATGTGGCATTGATGGGCACTGATAGGCAGCACTGATAGCCACTGATAGGCAGCACTGATGGGCACTGATAAGCAGCACTAATGAGGTGTCACGGATAGGTAGCACTGATAGGCAGCACTGATAGGTGGTACTGATAGGCGGCACTGATAGGTGGCACTGATAGGCTGCACTGATGATGTGTATTGATAGTCAGCACTGATAGGCGGCACTGACTGAGGGCACTGCTGGGCACTGACTGGCACAACTGCTGGGCACTGACTGGCGGCACTGCTGCGCTGCACTGATGGGCACTAGTGGGTGGCACTGGTGGGCACAGGTGGGTGGCACTGCTGGGCACAGGTGGGTGGCACTGCTGGGCACAGGTGGGTGGTGCTGATAGGCACTGGTGGGTGGCACAGTTGGGTGACACTGCTGGGCACAGGTGGGTGTCACTGTTGGGTGCCAACCCCTGCTCTGACAACTGTTGGTTCTCGGCAGTACTTTCCTCACGCTCTGACAGCGTGAGGAAGGTGCAGCCGAGAACCGGCAATTGCATTTCCCTGTGACCAGCGTGTCATTGGTGTCTTGGAAATTCGCTTTAACGAATTTCTCCTTACCGTGAGTACTCGCAGTTGGATGCGCAGAAATCCCCCATAAAGCTGTGCGAATCTCGCTTACCATGACTGCAGCTAAACTACACGATTCCTGCCCCTCCAACTGGGTTAGCTCTGTTGAAATGTGGGGAATTGGAGCTCCGTTACCCAAGAATGATCAGGCGACACTCTCAGGATGATGTTTGAATTCACATAAGGGCCGATCTGACTCCAGCCTCGGATTTTTATTTACAAGCAGACACACGCCCCCCCCCCACATGAATAAGGTCAATCCCCTCCCACAGAACAATGCAATGGGGAGTGCCTATACACAGGATATACATTCCGATTGGAGCATAGCCTTTCCTATTATCTATCACTGGTCCTCCCCATGAGCCCTCTGAGGTCAGCAGACTTCCTCCCCTTCCCCCCATGAGCCTTCTGAGGTCAGCAGACTTCTTCCCCTTCCCCCCATGAGCCCTCTATGGAGAGCATACTTCATGTCCTAGTAGCTCCCATTGGTATGTAAATTCTTTATACAAGCATTCCCTAGAAACATCAGTCTGTACCTGGATGGGCTCGATACGATCTTTATTAAAACACATCCATCCAGATACAGTTTCAGGTTGGTAATGGGTTGTAAGATATGCATAAGCCTACACGCGGAGTTCACACCGCTTGGAGCCTAATAAATTTTTTTCTCTCTTTTTAATATTTCAAAGTTGCGCATCTGTTTGTCAAAATCAATATTTTTGTTTGTCTATGAAACTTGGTTTTATTTAAAAGACATTGTATATCACAACGGCTAAATCTGTGTCTGTATAGTTTGTTTAACTACTTGGGGAGGAGAGCAAACTATGCAAACAACCTGATCCTGAATTGAAATCCTGTTCACAACTGATAACATGTGCGATTCAGAAATGGTTCATATAGAGGTCAATAGCCTGTAATCCACATCTGAACCAGACTGCAGTGCTCAGAAATCAGACAGCACTCTTTTGTCAATCCACACTAAATCTGCTTTCCAGTGCACCAGACACATGTGAACAGGCACCACTGGAAGCAATGTTGCCCTCCAGAGGATTTAACCCCCTTCCTGACCTTACAATTTATTTGCGTTACGGCGCTGCATTACTTTAACTGAACTGGTATTTGATCGCCTGTGTGTTTTTTATTATTTGCGCTATAAAAAATAGACTGACAATGTTGAGAAAAAAACAATATTTTTGATTTTTTTGCTATTAACCACTAGCCTACAGGGCGCTTATACCCCCTTCTTGCCCAGGCCAATTTCCAGCTTTCAGCGCTGTCGCACTTTGAATGACAATTGCGCGGTCATGCAACGCTGTACCCATATGACATTTTTATCATTTCTTTGTGACAGATAGAGCTTTATTTAGGTGGTATTTAATCACCTCTGGGTTTTTAATTTTTTCTTAAACAAACCAAAAACCACAGAAAATTTTGAAAAAAAAGTTAGTTCTTAGTTTTTGTTATAAAATTTTGTAAATAAATAATTTTTCTCCTTCACTGATGTGTGCTAATGAGGCTGCACTGATGGGCACTGATAGGCTGCACTGAAGGACACTGATAGGTGGCACTGATGGGCACTAATGAGGAGGCACTGGTAGGTGGCACTGACAGGCATCACTGATGGGCACTGAAAGGCAGCACTCATATATGGCACTGATAGGTGGCACTGATAGGTGGCACTGATATGTGGCACTGATAGGCGGCACTGACTGGCACTGATAGGCGGCACTGATAGGCAGCACCGACGGGCACTGATAGGCGGCACTGATGCACACTGATAGGCAGCACTGACTGGCACTGATAGATGGCACTGATTGGCAGCACTGATAGGTGGCACTGACTGACATTGATAGGTGGCACTGACTGGCACTGATGGGTGACACTGAAAGGCAGCTCAGCTGGGCACTGAAATGTGGCACTGAAGTGGCATTGATTGGCACTGGCAGGTGGCATGGATGAGCACTGAGAGCTGGCACTGATGGACACTGACAGGTGGCGCTGCTGGGGCTACACAGATCATCAGGGCACACTGATCATCAGTGCTCTGATGATCAGTGTACATGTCCCCTCCGAGAAATGCCGATTACCGGCTCTCCTCTCCTCTGTCAGTGTGACAGCTCGTGGGGAGAGAAATGCCGATAATCGGCATTTCCCTGTTTACATGTGATCAGCTGTGATTGGACACAGCTGATCACATGACCGAGCCGACATCTTCAGCTCTTTCCGTGGAACGGTGATCTGCTGTGTCCGAGGGACACAGCGCACCGCCGATCGCTGCGCTGTGCGCTCCGGGAGCTGTGCATGCGTGGTTAGAATGGGAGGACATCATCTGACGTCCTCCCAGAACGAGAGAACCGCCTTGCATCCATCATATTACTATATGGCGGGCAGGAGGCGGTTAAACATGTCCAGTAAAAAAAATTTAAAAATCAAATTTCATCATAAATTTACACCAAAATGTATTGTGCTACATGTCTTTGCTAAAAAAAAATCCAAAACCTGTAAATTAATTGGTTTACGCGAAAGTTATAACATTTACAAATGGCAGTATATATACTGGGCTTTTTTAATTTTTTAGTTTTACTAGTAATGGTGGCAATCAGCGACTTATTGTGGCAGACGTTCTGACACTGGCGGAGAACTGACTTGGTGTCACTGACATCCCCAGTGACACCAATACAGTGATTAGTGCTAATAAAAAGCATTAACACTGTACTAATGGCACTAAGCAGGAAGGGGTTAACATCAGGGGCGATCAAGGGGTTAACAGTGTGCTGTGTGCTGTTTTACTAGGGGCTGCGTGTTTGTGCTTCACTGTAAGCACACTGCTTTACATGGCTGTGCTGTGCACAGCCATGCAAAGCAGTGTGCAGGAGCTGACAGGAGAGAGAACTGTTTTGTACTAATGGCACTGGGTAGAAAGGGGCTAACATGAGGGGCAATCAAAAGGTTAACTGTGTGCAGGGAGTGTTTTACTAGGGAGCCATGTCAGTGAACACAGCCATCCAGAGTAGTGTACCTGAGCTGACAAGGAGGAGAACTGTTCGTAAACAAAACAGTCCTCCTCCCCATCAGAGATCTTTGGAAATCACCGGGCGCCGGCGAGCAATTACCGGCCAGACCCAGTGATTGACAGCCACGGCCCAGAAATGAAAAATTATGTATATATACACATGATTTTGCCCACCCGTGCTGCCCCATAGCAGTATTTCTGCTACAGGGCAGACTGGAAGTGGTTACACCTTAATACCATAAATAATAACAAATAGTATATAATGAGTTTGGAAATTCTATTGAAATGCTTAAATAATGCATTACAATTTAACTAAACCCATAGATTTTAGTCGACTAACATGTCAGAATTTTTATTTTTACATTTTTAAATTAGTATCAGTGTCAGTTAGTGGCAGGATAAAAAAAAAACAAAAAATACGCAGTGTTGTTTCTGGGCCATACTACGGGTACAAACAATAACCTAACATACACATATGTGGTATTGCTGCGATCGTCAGGAGCAGAAGAAATTATTTTGGGTTATTCTTTGGTGGTTGGTTATGGTAGTAGCAAGAAATATACAACTAAATTAAAAAATTGTTTTTACTATTTTGGGTTAGATATCCTTTGATAATAAAAAAAAAATCAGGAGATATCCATTACCATCCATTTACCACCAAATGAAAGCCCAATTTGTGCTAAAAAAACAAGGTATAATCCACCTGGATGCCCAAAGTAGTTGTGATGATATGTACAGTTTTGCTAACACATGTCAAAGTTGCAAAATTGTGCTTAGACTTTAAGATTTGTGTTACCCTTAGGCGTGAAGGGGTTAAATTACATGCCCAGGAGATGCCTTTGAACTGTATGTAGAATTATGCAACAGAATGATTTTCATGGATAGCATCAGCAACACCATATACTGGCATGATATATTTTGGAGGTGTAAATACAGCAGCTGAGTCCCTATCTGATTGATTTGGACTTGAAACAAATGGCTTTTTCAGGTAGTTTTGAATGCAACACCTGCCTTTTTGTCAAGTGGTAAATGGCTTGAATTGACCAGTGGAAGTAGCAACCGCAAGAAATCTAAAAGCTATTGGAAAGTTTACCAGCCAGCAAGTCTGTTTTAAATAGAACAGACTGTTCTGCATATGCAGCAGTTAGAGGGTTGAGTCAAACCATTTAAAACTGACAGGGGAGCTTACAATTATCAGATTTTACTTATAGTATTTAAGGAGGTCCAGTGGGAATTAAAAAAAATAAAAGTCAGCAGCTACAAAGACTGTAGCTGCTGACTTTTAAAAAATGTATACTCACCTGTCTTCACACCGACTGGGTTGACCAACCGTCTTGTCTCCTCGGCCTCGACATCTTCAGTTGTGACAGCTTTCAGCTTCACAGCTGGGTGCCCACTGCGCATTTGCGAGTAGCGTTGCGCTTTGTGAATGGTCCCATAGTCTTCTGGGACCTGTCACGTGTCCTTGAACACTACAGGGAGGGGACAACTTCCACTCCCAATCGCCTAGATCAGCCTTTCTCAACCTTTTCAACACAGAGGGACACTTGAAATGACTTTTTGGTCTCAGGGAACCCCAGCTAAAAATGACTGTATCTTCAGCTCATGATACATTGGTGTGATGGTCATTGGGAAGAATGTTCCTTACACTTGTGGTCACTGAGAAGAATTACCCCCTTATAGATAGCTAAAAATATCAATGGTGTCAGCGGGAACCTATCTGAGAGGCAGATATTGCTCGTTGCTCAAGGAACCCCTAGCAACCTCTGGAGGAACCCTAGTGCAGAAACCCTGGCCTAGGCGATCGCAGCTGATGTCGGAGCGGTAACCTGTCAAATTCGGGTACCTCCCCCCCCCACTCCCCAAAGGTGCCAATTCTTAATGGGGAGCAGGGGACACAGCCTAAAGCGGAATTTCCCCTTTTGGGTGGAGCTCCGCTTTAAGTAAAACCTTTATTCCAAAAGGAAAAAAAATGTTTGCTGTAACTGCTTATAAAGTGTTAGCTAGATTTTGGCTTCAGTTTGTTAGTGTATTTAAATCTGCTAGCCCATCTAACATTCCCTCCCCCAGACTGATAATGCAGCCCAAAGGTATATCTGTTACTCCTTCATCCAGTATGGGGGCACTGTAATACAGAAGGTGCTTTAATGCCCTGATCACCAAGGTAAAAAACCTATAAAAGGGAAAATAATGCAGCCACTACATTCAGCCTCGGTTCACACTAGCATGCAGTCTGGGAAACCCGCGATCCATTCGCTTTTCCCACACCCCATTCAAATTGCACTGCCCTTGCGATCTGCAGTAGGTATCAGTGCAAACTTAATGCCACCCAAAATGCAGGTCAAAAACGCAATGCGTTTGCTTGCACTGGATTGCATGGTACAAAACGACCATGCGATCTGGTTGCAGTGCATTCCCAAAATTGCAGCATGCATGACTTTGGTATGGATGCAGTGCGATTTGAGCCCATTCAAAATGATGGGCTTAAATCACATGGCACTAAATCGCATGTGAATTGTACAAGAATGTGGTGGGCATTTCTGAGCAATTCATAGTGTGAACCTAAGCTTAATGATTGGTTAGCTACAATACTGTATATTAAATTTTGAGTTTTGGGTTTAAAGCGGAGTTTCACCCAAAAGGAGAAGTTCCACTTTAAAGATTGGTCCCCCGCTCCCCATTAAGGATTGGCACCTTTGGGGAGCGGGGGAGGGGGGGAGTGGGTATGCGAATTTGACAGGTACCTGATCCCACTTCCGCTGCGATTTCCTAGGCGATCGGAAATGGAAGTTGTCCTCCTACCCTTCCTCCCCAAAGTCTTGTGGGACACGTGACAGGTCCCAGAAGACGACGGAGCCATTCAGGAAGTGCAGCTCTACTCGCGCATGCTCAGTGGGCACCCAGCTGTGAAGCCACAAGCTGTCACAGCTGGGAGCCCACACTGAAGATGCCGGTGCCTGGAATACAGGATGGCCTGTGAATCAGGCTACAGCGGGGGCAACGTGGGATCGTGGGGGACAGGTGAGTGGCTGTTTTTTAAAAGTCAGCAGCTACAGTTTTTTCTTTCTTTCTTTTTTTTACATAGTTAGTGGAACTCCGATATAACGTTGCTTTAGGTGCCTATAATTGCCATATCCTCTCCTGACCACAAGGGGTGCCAAAGGACCAAATGTCGGTCATAATTGGGTACCAGTGGATTGGGAGTTTGGGAAACTCCCATAAATGCATCAAATGTTGAAGATCATAAGAGCTGATACCAACATGGCAGGGAGCTGCATACTGGCTACTACTTTAATGTTCCAGGATAGTATTGGCTGGGGATTTTAAGGGGTGGGGGGTCACACATTAATCTTTTTGTGTATTTTTTTTACTCTAAAAATGTAACTGTCTTAGTGCTAAAACTTGAAAAACGTTTCCAGTTTTAAGTATAAAAAAGTAATTGAGCAGTCATGAAAGTAGAATACACGGTAAACTCTGTACTCCTGCACTTGGGGATGCACACAGCAAAGGCTATGGTAACAATTCAGATGTCCTAGAAAATGCACTCCTTGCTGCCCTCAATGGACCAGGGTAGTCCAAAGTCACTGGATACAAAGAAAACAAACAGAGGGCGCACTGGCCTAGTGCATTATCGTAAAAATATTTATTAAAAGGATAAAAAGTAAGTATCATACTCACAATTGACATACATGACCAAGGCACATCACACTAAGCAGCAGTGTCCAATCCACACTGCACATAAGTCCATAAATGGAACCCTGGACTTCCAACAGGCTATCGCGTTTCGAGGACTCAGCCTAAGACAGGACTAGAAAGGTCATGAGTGGGCACATACAGTAGTTAAGCAGTTAGGTTAAAAAAAGACACATGTACATAAGTTCCATCCATAGAATTAAATATGGAAATTAAAATAAAAGCATTCACCAAACCTTAACCCTACATTTGACCCAGGTGTAGGCAAAAACTCATTACTCAACCTGTTACCTCCACTGTGCTATCAAAAAGGGGACTTATCGGACTACTATGATGTAGCCATAAAGTTAAGTTAGATAATAAAAAAACTACGGAATGAAACTGTAATTTATATTAAAAATAATTTAAAAGTCCCCCCCCGCCACCACTTACATGCATGTAAATGCATGCTTTGGGAGTGCCTACATGTGAAAACAATGGTTGTGCCACTTATATTTGGTATTGATAATTCTAGGGTCAGCATTTATGGTTAACACTAAAGCAGTGTA